TGATACTTTGAATATTACATGTTAATAACTTGATTGGAATTATAACCTTGAATTGACAGTTTGATACTTTGAAAATTTTGAGCCAGCCCTACCCCCAAGGGCTGGAGGTGCTAGTTTCAAATCCTTTTTAGTCTGAAATCTGTATGCTAGATATTGAGTAAGGTGGTTTTATTGTTTTTTGTCACTTTGAATAATATTTCTGTTCATGTTAAAAACAAAATCAACTCTCTGTATAAATATATCAGGTGACCGTTAAGGCCCATGGGCCTCTTGTTCTGATAAGCGATAGTCCCCAGGCCTAGTAGAGCTACCTGATTAGTGATAGTCCCCAGGCCTAGTAGAGCTACCTGATTAGTGATAGTTCCCAGTCCTAGTAGAGCTATCTGATTAGTGATAGTCCCCAGGCCTAGTAGAGCTATCTGATTAGTGATAGTCCCCAGGCCTAGTAGAGCTACCTGATTAGTGATAGTCCCCAGTCCTAGTAGAGCTACCTGATTAGTGATAGTCCCAGTCCTAGTAGAGCTACCTGATTAGCGATAGGCCCCAGGGCTAGTAGAGCTACCTGATTATTGATAGTCCCCAGGCCTAGTAGAGCTACCTGGTTAGTGATAGTCCTCAGTCCTAGAAGAGCTACCTGATTAGTGATAGTCCCCAGGCCTAGTAGAGCTACCTGATTAGTGATAGTCCCCAGTCCTAGAAGAGCTACCTGATTAGTGATAGTCCCCAGGCCTAGTAGAGCTACCTGATTAGTGATAGTCCCAGTCCTAGTAGAGCTACCTGATTAGTGATAGTCCCCAGTCCTAGTAGAGCTACCTGATTAGTGATAGTCCCCAGGCCTAGTAGAGCTACCTGATAAGTGATAGTCCCCAGGCCTAGTAGAGCTACCTGATTAGTGATAGTCCCAGTACTAGTAGAGCTACCTGATTAGTGATAGTCCCCAGTCCTAGAAGAGCTACCTGATTAGTGATAGTCCCCAGGCCCAGTAGAGCTACCTGATTAGTGATGGTCCCAGTCCTAGTAGAGCTACCTGATTAGTGATAGTCCCCAGGCCTAGTAGAGCTACCTGATAAGTGATAGTCCCCAGGCCTAGTAGAGCTACCTGATTAGTGATAGTCCCTAGTCCTTGTCCCACCACTGTTATATCTATTATAAAACTAAAGGGAGGTTACTGTGTAATGAGACACTACAGTGGAACATTTATCTATGAACAGGACATGAACTGCTACACTTATTTTTTAACAGTTAGAAATTTAAACTGGCTACAGCTATGTCTTAACAGTTAGAAATTTAAACTGGCTACAGCTTTGTCTTAACACAGTTAGAAATTTAAACTGGCTACAGCTATGCCTTAACAGTTAGAAATTTAAACTGGCTACAGCTATGTCATAACAGATAGAAATTTAAACTGGCTACAGCTATGTCTTAACAGTTAGAAATTTAAACTTGCTACAGCTTTGTCTTAACAGTTAGAAATTTAAACTGGCTGCAGGTATTTTTAAATAGTAAGAAAATTAAATTGGCTACAGCTATTTTAAATAGTGAGAAGTTTTAACTGGCTACAGTTATGGTTTAACAGTTGAAGTTTAAATTGGCTACAGCTATTTTAAATAATAAGAAAATTAAACTGGCTACAGCTTTGTTTTAACAGTTGAAATTTAAACTGGCTACAGCTATGGTTTAACAGTTGAAGTTTAAACTGGCTACACGTGTTTATAAATAGTAAGAAAATTAAACTGGCTACAGCTTTATTTTTTACAGTTGAAATTTAAACTGGCTACAGTTATGGTTTAAGTTATGGTTTAACAGTTGAAATCTAAATTGGCTACAGGTATGTTTTAACAGAAATCAAAACTGGCTGCAGTTATTTAACAGCATAAGGCTAAAATACATCAGGCTAACTTTTTCAACCTGATTTGAATTATATAACCATGTGTTAACCAAGCCCACTGAGTGAAGGGTAGAATTAGTTCCCTGTTTTATCGGTGGAAACCTGGTGTTATGTTCCGTTGTGATTGTAACTAACATGATTCGTCTTATCCAGATAGCCCTTCCATGAGTCTGCCGGGGATGATGAACATTGGATGTAGCCGGGTCCCTGGGGCCCGGGAAGGCACCTACACGGGGGGTCGGGATGGTGAAGTCCAGCTACACAGCGCCTTCTCTTACCTGGGTCAAGAGAACAGCCCAGTGACCTCTGACCCCTACAGGTACAGCGATGTCAAGTATTCGGTGCGGGACTGTGATGGCAGCCTAGGAAGTGCGACTCTATCGCAGAAGAAATTTCTTGGGGATGGGACAGGGGGTCATCCTCCCCCTGGGATGAGTGGGGAAGAAAAGACCCGGGGAGGCATCTTCGGAAACATGCTGTGTTCACGGACTAAATGATGCTGAGAGCATACAGTGTTCACAAACTTAATGACGCAGGGAGCAGGCATTGTTCATGGACAAAGTGACACGATAAACGTGCAGTGCTCGTGGACTCCTCTATCAGGGAGCAGGCATTGTGGTTCATGGACTTAATGACACTGAGAGCATGCATTGTGCACATTAAAGTGACAGGCATGCTCACTTCATTTACCTACATATACATAATATGTATATATATATATATAGATATTACACTACGGCGGCAAAGACCAAAGGCGCGGTGAGAGAGGAACAAGATTGTATATACGTTGATTCATGCTTAATGAAACTGTACATATTCAGGCCTGGTAGGAGGAATTCCCAACCTGTGCATAGCAATCGGCGATAAAATCAGTTGAGAGGGGCAATTATAGTCTAAATTACTTCCAACCAGGAAAAAACAATATATATCAAATCAAATGGGAAAACAATGAGGATTTGTTGCTGATGTGCTGAGTGAGTGGTTGTGACGTTTGTATCTGATCTCCAGGTCGTGTGGAAGCAGTCTCGTGTGGTAAACATGGGAAACTTAGCGACCAAGGGAGATAACCAAGTATTTGGACAAACAATAGTTTGGTCCGGGGGTCAGATTTCTATATATATATATGAGTATGCTCTTCCTAACAGCTACTTTGAACCTAAGTTCAGATGTCAAAATATCTATTTAAAGAGAGCAATCATATAATAGTATAAAATCTTGCATGTTTTTAGTATGCATATCCTGTTTGTATTTTTCTGTATGATTTTTTTCTGAACTCAAGTTTTCTTCCAGAGATGTGAGGATGTGAATTTCAGTCGTTGAATTTACGATGAGAATGGATCTGACTACAGTCTCCCTTGTTTATCCTATGGATAGTTGTGTTAGTTTGACTGAGGATGTAATGGTGACTGTGCCCTGGATGTATGACAGGATTATTCTGATCGGTTGGTTGTGAACACCTATATCAGTGTGTTAGTGACCACTAGGTGGGGCTATTGTGCCTTGGTCAGCAAACAGCTTTATCTTCATTGTCAGAACAAACACCTCGTTAGGTTGGTAAAAGTGTCTGCTGCAGGTGAGCATCTCAATAATAACAAAGTGCTGCTGTTATCATAAAACATCTGTAGAATCACCAGCTGTTTGTGCGATGATACAACACAACATCATTTTGTTTTGTTTCGAAAGAGAGAGAGAGAGGGGGGGGGCGTGCGGCACACAGTCACACTATAAGTGGGTTGAGAAATTGTTTTCAGTATACGATTCTAACTGTAGAGTGTGTGATCATGACGTTGGTGAGAGAAGGATGGGACATGCCGGTTACTGCTGACAGTTTGTAACTGTGGAGTGTGTGATCATGACGTTGGTGAGAGAAGGATGGGACATGCCGGTTTCTACTGACAGTTTGTAACAGTAGAGTGTGTGATCATGATGTTGGTGAGAGAAGGATGGGACATGCCGGTTACTACTGACAGTTTGTAACTGTGGAGTGTGTGATCATGACGTTTGTGAGAGAAGGATGGGACATGCCGGTTACTACTGACAGTTTGTAACTGTAGAGTGTGTGATCATGACGTTGGTGAGAGAAGGATGGGACATGCTGGTTACTACTGGCAGTTTGTAAAATGTCCCAAGATATTCTCACAGGGTGATTTGAATGAATTTTTTTTGTTGCCTATTGAACATGAAAAGTAAGATTTCTAACGTACTCCACATAATTTTGGTGCATATTTTCCATCTGTTACCTGGCTTCTGGTTTGATACAAGGCGTCCTGTTTAGTACATGATGTGTTCATTGTTATGTACTATATTTTTTTATATTAAACAAGTATTTCCCTGTGTGTATACCCTCGTGTATTCTTCAGTAAGAAACAGAACAGACTCTATCGTCCAGTTAATTCAGGATGTGAAATCCTGTAAAGTTACTGAGAATTGTTCACCAAAACCTTACTGTGGATGAAATTTACAACACCTGTTTTTCCTGAAACTTCCTATAATGATATAGGATTTTTTCTTAATTTCTTCTTCGTAAATTAAAATGAGTAGGTATTAGGTAGTCTATGTAATTGTATCTGCTCTGACCTCGTTACACACAGCAAGAAAAACTTGTTTTTTTCTTTTCAAGAATCTCCGATAAATTTGTTCTTGTCAACATTTTTTGTGTTGAAGCCAAAAGCTAGGATTGGTTGTCTTGGTAATAATGTATCATTGATCATGTAACAAAAATATCTTGTAATTTTACCAGTAACAGTTGCCATGGTTATAATAAAAACTGCTTGGTTGTCATGGTTACTAGGACTTGTAGTAACTAGGTCAGTTACTTGTTGTCCCTAGGGCTAACTTGTTGTTGCCACGACAATAACTGGTTGTCACTAGGACAGTAACTGATTGTTTCTAGGACTGAAACTTGTTGCATGAACAGAAACTGGTTTCCCAGAACAATCACTGGTTGTAGCTAGGACAGTCACTGGTTGTCACTAGGACAGTTACTGGTTGTCATGGTTACATTTAGTGGTTGTCACTAGGACAGTCATTTGTTGTCACTAGGACATTTACTGTTTGCCACTAGGACAGTTACTGGTTGTCATGGTTACAGTTACTGGTTGTAACTAGGATAGTCACTGGTTGTTACTAGGACAATCACTGGTTGTCATTAGAACTTGACCCTGTTATTTCCCTGGTTTGTTATCGTCCTCATCTTACATGTACAAATGTATGTGTGTGTTGTATGGAATTACTATCATCATAGTTGTCACCAGTCACTTCCAGTTTTACAAATTTTAATAAATTTTATCATCTATTTTTGAAATGGAATATTTGCTACATTGAGAATATGCGTAGTTGTTACTATGAGATCATACTCGGTGACCCTGCTGGTCTACAGGTGAATGGATTCAGTCCCACGAATCAAAGTCGTACAAAAATCATCTGATCATTAAATTGTCTGTAAGGGAAAAAAACTTGTTATAATCACTGAATGAATTAAGAAAGTGAATTTCCTACATAAGATGTACGACTTTGTGGAGAGTGATTGGAGGCCGCAGTGGCCGACTGTGACGACAGGGCACCGAGTACCCCTGATGGTAGTTGTAGACCAGTAGAGGGCGCATTGTCTCTAAGATGTTAGAGGGACGTCAGCGTCAAACATTGGTTCTTGTATAAAAGGGTACAAAAATAAAGTATAAATGATGATCCAAGACTTCTGGTTCTCAATTCACCTTTGTGTTGTGTTTCTTATGTCAACCAAGCTAAACTTTTAAAAGAGACACTGAAACCCTGAAAATGTGTGTGATGCTTAGCAATCTCCATTGGAATTGGAAAGGGGGCGGAGGGGAGTTCAGTTAGGCGTGAGAATGTATTCATGATTCTTGGGCAATGTTGGAAAATTCGTTTGGGAGGACATTTTGCAGTTTGTGGTATGTTACTATATATGCAAGGGACTTGATTAAGAAACTGTTAGAACTTGTCACAAAACATATTTTTCTCTTTTTGCTCCTAAAAATTTGACGATTTTGAGACATCAGCTGGTATTTGTGAGCCCTATTGTTTTTCTGCAGTCATAAAAGAAACCAAAATGAGAGCAAAGTAGGACTTTATGAATAGACAAATAATGAACAAAAAACTGGCCTGATCAATTGACTTCTTCATACAGGAATCCTAATTTCCAAACCCAATAACAGGTTCAGTCTAAATCTGATTTATATCTGATGAGCATTATTGTCGCTTGTATGAAGTCAAATTTTCTTCTATATCACACTTTATTTTACAGAATTAGGAAATAGAATATTTAATACATTGATGAAACTCTAGACCTATTTACTGCCATTTCTACACTTTCACTGATGTTATTGTCAAGGAATTGACAAGGCACAGCATCAAAATGAGAGATAAACAATTTAACTAGAGAAGCAAGCTTGATTCAGAAAACACTTTTTGTTGCATATTCTTCTATGTTAAAGAATACTTTGTTGAAAAAAATAGCTCTTCGGTAAACTCTGTGATCATGATTCTCACCTATGCAATGAAACCTTTTAACTTTATGACACAATTGTTAAAAAAAAATCTCACAGGCTTTGAACCTTAGTCATAAAAGTGAAACCCAAAAACAACAAGAGTTTGTCGTTGTCCATATTTTACTTTAAAAGCAAACTGGGATGAAGGGCTACCAAGTTTGTTCAAATAAATTACCTTCAGTCACCTATTTTCAAAGTCACAGGGGTCAAATATGTTAAAAACTTTAAACAACTTCTCCTGAATAACCAAAATGCCCAGGGTGATGATGTTTGGCCAGTCCCATGCTGAGATGAAGGGCTACAAAGTTTGTTCAAATGAATGACCTGTACCCATATTCAAGGTCACAGGGGTCAAATATGTTTAAAACTTTAAACAACTTCTTCTGAATAACCAAAATGCCCTGGGTGATGATATTTGGCCAGTAGCTAGCTGAGATTAAGGGCTACATAGTTTGTTCAAATGAATGACCTTCACCCATATTGAAGGTCACAGGGTCAAATATGTTAAAAACTTTAAACAACTTCTTCTGAATAACCAAAATGCCCAGGGTGATGATGTTTGGCCAGTCACATGCTGGGATGAAGAGCTACCAAGTTTGTTCAAATGAATGACCTTCATCCATTTTCAAGGTCACTGGGGTCAATTGTCTAAAAAAATCTTTAAACAACTTCTGAATAACTAAGAGAACTAGGATAATGATATTTGGCAAGTAACATGCTAGAATGAAAGGCTACCAAGTTTGTTCAAAAGAATGACCTTGACGTTTATTCAAAGTCACAGGGGTCAAATATGTTTAAAACCTTTAAACATCTTCTACTGAATAACCAAGAAGCCTACGATTATGATATTTGGTGAGTAGTTTGCTGAGATGAAGGGCTATCAAGTTTGTTAAAATGAATGACCTTGACAAATATTCAATGTCACAATGGTGAAATATGTTTAAAACATTTAAACAACAACTTCTCTATAACCAAAAGGCCTAGGATGATGATATTTGGTCAGTAACATGCTGGGATAAAGGGCTACCAAGTTTGTTCAAACGAATGACCTTGACGTATGTTCAAGGTCACGGGTCAAATATGTTTGAAACCTTTAAACAACTTCTGAATAACCAAGAGGCCTAGGATTATGAGATTTGGTCAGTACTTTGCTGGGATGAAGGGATACCAAGTTTGTTCAAATGAATAACCTTTGCCCATATTCAAGGTCACAGCTGGTCATTATATGTTTAAATCTTTACATTACTTGAAAATATTTTGCCAAAAGCCTGCTGTGTTGGAAGACTAACTCTGTTCAACCTAATGTCCTTGTTCCACATTCAAGGTCACAGGCGTCATATGTTTAAATCTTTTAATAGATTCTTATGAATCAAACACTGATAGTCTACATGTATTTTAGTCCACTTTTAAGATTACAAATTAATACCAGGTGAGCGATTCAGGCCCATTGGGCCTCCTGTTTACATTAAAGTAGTTCTAATATTTATCGTGGGAGCCAAATAGGAATAACAAAAAAGAATAGCTTCAAAACATGAAGTGTGTATAACAATAGGCCCAATGAGACTATCGATCACATGACTTCTTGTACTGTCACCAAACAGGCCCAATGGGGCTGTATCGATCACATGACTTCTTGTACTGTCCCCAAACAGGCGCAATGGGACTGTATCAAGCACATGACTTCTTGTACTTACACCAAACAGGCCGAATGGGACTGTGTCGATCACACAATCACATGACTTCTTGTACTGTTACCAAACAGGCGCAATGGGACTGTATCGATCACATGACTTCTTGTACTGTCCCCAAACAGGCCAAATGGGGCTGTATCGATCACATGACTTCTTGTACTGTCACCAAACAGGCGCAATGGGACTGTATCGATCACATGACTTCTTGTACTTACACCAAACAGGCCCAATGGGACTGTGTCGATCACACAATCACATGACTTCTTGTACTGTCACCAAACAGGCGCAATGGGACTGTATCGATCACATGACTTCTTGTACTGTCACCAAACAGGCCAAATGGGGCTGTATCGATCACATGACTTCTAGTACTGTCACCAAACAGGCCCAATTGGACTGTGTCGATCACACAATCACATGACTTCTTGTACTGTCACCAAACAGGCCCAATGGGACTGTATCGATCACATGACTTCTTGTACTGTCACCAAACAGGCCCAATGGGACTGTATCGATCACATGACTTCTTGTACTGTCACCAAAGAGGCCTACTTTGACTGTATCGATCACATGACTTCTAATACTGTCACCCAAGACATGTGTGATAATCAAAGAGTTTCAAGATAAAATTCCTTGAAACAAACTTTATCAGAAAACCCCAAGAGTTGGACTTTGATGTTACTCACCTTATGGTTCTTTGAGGAGTCAGACTTGTCTTATTGACCCTAGCGTTACCCTAGGACTATAGGTCACTAATAAGCAGCTGTATATAAGGTAAAAAGTGAATTTTGACAACGACTTTTGTAAGCAAGTCAAGGTCGGGAAGTTGAATACAGACAACCTCTGGTTTTACTGGCTACATTATAAATCCTTTCTCCTGAGATTGTCTACTTCAATAACTCCATGAATGTATGACCTTTATTACTACGAAGAGCCAACATTACATCTCTTCTCATCTATGGAAGCAATTTTCAAATTATGGCCTGCTTTTCCCAGAGGAGATAGAATTTGTTTTGATGATAAAGCGATTTCGAGACGACGACAGTGTAAACGTTACAAGCAATCTGAGACAATAACATGTTACCGGCAATATGTTTACGTCAGTGATATGTTCGGAAATCCTAGGGTTCAGTTTTTGATAAACAAATGTATCACATACCTGCCCCATTTTCTGCGTCATACGGTCATGTTTTATAAACACGTGTACTAAACGTAAAGGTGCTGCGATTGGTCAAAACAGTGGGAACATATTCCTACGCCAATACAGGTACTTCTATTTACTATGCGACATGATATTCCATTGAATGTTATTCTATATCAATTTTTTTTTTTTTTGCTTTGTCATAAATATTTTCATTGCATTAAAATAATGTCTGAAACTGTTTTTCACTGCGCGGAACAATACTACTTTCATCGGAGTACTTTCGTTGTTACCCGATATAGTCACATAACTGTGTCTGATATTTTTCCAGAATATGAATGTTATGTGATAATTAGAATATTGTATTCGTGTCCATGTATATTGAATTTGTTAAACCCGTTCAATAGTTTGATAATACACCCGCCCAAAGGCTCGTGTCATACGCAATGATTGAACTCGTTTAATGAATTAAACATGACATAGACACTCATGTTAGATCCTTTATTTATTATCTCTCTATATTTGGAATAAGTCCTAATAAAATCGAAGACACTCATTAAACGATTTAGTTGGTTTTCAGGCATAAAAACACTGTCCAATCACTAAGCTGATACCTGTCCTTGGAGTATTACAGAAGATCGACAGCCGACTTGTCAGGCATGTTGATTTTACCGTTATACCTCCGCGCGATTGTAATGATGATGTGCATCAGAGGACCAAAATATTCTACGTGTATAAACTGCGAGGTCGTAAAGAATCTTCGGTAATATCTTGACTTATTCCAGAGATGTAGAGAAGATATATGTATCTAGAGCGCAACAGTGGACTCTGAGGATGAGAATACCTGAAGAAACGCCTTCGTTCTGTGATGAGATTTGTGGATTTTGCCATGACATGTTCCAGGAAAGTGAGCGTGACTCCTAGAACTACGAGGATGGTTATGTCAGATAAGCTGCTAGGTCTCCGCCATAGAGAAAGTGGTCCATCTGAGGGACTCAACCATTTGGTGCTACCACGGCGTTCGAATGTTTTACTAAAAAATGACAAAAGCTAATAATGGGCTGTGAGTGGGAGGACGTAAGTAAGATTTAAGTGGGCCGTGACTGAGCTGTAAGAGGGCTGAGAGTTGTCTGAGAGTTGTCTGAGTGTGGACTGTGAGTGGGCTGTGAGTGGGTTGTGAGTGATCAGTGAGTTGGCTGTGACTGGACTGTAAGTGGGCTGTGAGTTGATTGTTAGTGAGTTGTAAATGGACTGTTAGTGGGTTGTTAGTCGGCTGTGAGTAGGTTCTGTAAATGGGTTTCGAGTTGGCTGTGAGAGGGCAATTATAGTGCTCTTAGTGTACTGTAAGTAGGCTATGAGTTGGATGTGAGTGGGCTGTGAGTGGACTGTTAGTGGGCTGTAAGTGAGCTGTAAGTGGGCTATGACTGGGTTGTGAGCGGGCTGTACATAGGCTGTGAGTGAACTGTAAATGGGCTGTGATGAGCTGTGAGTGGGTTATGAGGTGGCTGTGATAAACTGTGAGTGGGTTGTGAGTGGGCTGTAAGTGGGCTGTAAGTTGGTTGTGAGTGAGTTGTAAGTGGGCTGTAAGTGGGCTGTTGATGTACTGTGAGCTGGCTGTTGGTTGACTGTGAGTGGGCTGTGAGTTAGCTGTAAGTTGGCTGTAAGTGGGCTGTGAGTGGGCTATGAGTGGACTGTGAGTGGGCTGTAAGTTGGCTGTGAATGAGATGTAATGTGGCTGTAAGTGGTCTGTAAGTCGGCTGTGTGTGGGTTGTAAACTGACTGAGTGGGCTGTAAGGCGGTTGTGAGTGGGCTGTGAGTCGGCTTTAAATTGACTGTGAGTGGACTGTGAGTGTGATGTAAGCTGACTGTGAGTGAGATCTAAGGTGGTTGTGAGTGGGCTGTGAGTGTGATGTTAGTTGGCTGTGAGTAGACTGTGAGTGTGATGTAAGCTGGATGTGAGTGAGATGTAAGGTGGATGTGAGTGGGCTGTAATTCGGCTGTGTGTTGGCTGTAAATTGACTGAGTTGGCTGTGAGTGGACTGTGAGTGTGATGTAAGCTGGCTGTGAGTGAGATGTAAGGTGGCTGTGAGTGGGCTGTAAGTCGGCTGTGTGTGGGCTGTAAATTGACTGTGAGTTGGCTGTGAGTGGACTGTGAGTGGGATGTGAGTTGGCTGTAATCTTAGCCTACTGATGTTTTTGTGCTGGGTTTTACAAGCTGTTCCCAGTTATTATCAAATATACTTGTAGGGATTTGCGATTAGTATAATAGTAATATTATATCTTCTATAAACGTTATGCTTTATATTTTTTAGCTCACCTGGTCCGAAGGACCAAGGTGAGCTTATGCCATACCGTGGCGTCCGTCGTCCGTCCGTCCGTACGTCGGTACGTCAACAATTTCTTTAAGCGACTTCTTCTTCTTAACCACTTGTTGGAATTAAACTAAATTTGACTGGAAGCATCCCTAGGTGGTGGGGATTCAAAATTGTACAAATGGTGGGGCTGACCCCTCAGGGGGCTGAGGGCCGGGGCCAAAAGGGGGCCATTTGCCCATATTGCTTTAAGCGACTTCTTCTCTGAAACTAAGATATGGATATCAACCATATTTGACTGGAAGCATCCGTAGGTGGTGGTGATTAAAAATTGTACAAATGGTGGGGCTGACTCCCTAGGGGGCTTAGGGGCGGGGCACAAAGGGGGCAATTTGGCTATATTGCTACAAACGACTTCTTCTGTAGAACTGTGCACTGGATATCAATCATATTTGATTGGAAGCATCCCTAGGTGATGGTGATTAAAAATTGTACAAATGGTGGGGCTGACTCCCCAGGGGGCTAAGGGGCGGGGCCAAAAGGGGGCCATTTGGCTATATTGCTACAAACGACTTCTTCTGTAGAACTGTGCACTGGATATCAATCATATTTGATCAAAAGCATTCCTGGGAGGCAGGGATTTAAAATTGTACAAATGGTGTGGCTGACCCCCCAGGGGGCTGAGGGGCAGGGCCAAAAAGGGTATTTGGCTATACTGCTTTAAG